GCGGGGTTTAGTGGGAGCCAATGTTAACTGCACACCAACAGTAAATACATCCACCACACCGGCTGCTCAATAACACTAATGCCAATCCAAAACTTGCTCATGGTCACAGGGTTAACAAACTCTTTAAGGAATGGAAGATGATGAATTTTTGGATTTTTTTTTTATTTATAGGATATCTTTAAATCCCTTCTGTCAACAGTGACATTATCAAGAGGGATGGGGGGATAAATTAGGAGGCGTTATTTCCTGAGATCTGAAGCCCCATATGGACAAGTCTAAAGCTGACAGCAGTCCTATTATTGTAACCACAGGCAAACTTAAAAACATCCTTCCCTTTTTACACACAGATTATACCCACTCCTCCTTAACAATCACAACAATAGCCATAAACAAACCTTACACGGACCCTTCAGTAGCCAAGTCCCTAATTGAGACAAGTGGGGATAATTTCCTGGAAGAACAGTCTGAGTGGCGCTGGACAGGTATGCCAGTAACCTCTGACCCCGAACCAGGCCTGTGCTGACATGAAAGTTGACCTGTGGTGACCTTTAGGGTCCTCTACAGGCCCTCTGTGGTGCTTTCCCACATAGGCCTGCCTTTGATGTCCATTGGGGGCTTTTCCCATGGCCCTGCCGGCCGAGACCTCTCAGGACCTGAGGAGAGGAGAGGGTGGGAGGCTACCTTAGGAGAGGTCAAGCCACACCGGAGGTTCCCCACCGCACAGCTATTCCTTCTTCCTTTAAGACACCTCCAAAAATAATTCATCCTCCCAACCTCAAACCCCCCATGCGCATGCACACACACAAACTTTCACACATGCTGACACCTTCCTTATTTGGGAAGAGTTAAAAAGCCTTTGCAGCTAATTTGGAAGCATGACAGATAATGTTTCAGCGTTTGTGTTTATTTGTGTATGTGTGTGTTTAAGTGTGCGTCAGCGCGAAGCGGTCAGGTTAGCTGCTTCCAGGGCCTGTGTTTTCGGAGTGGGCAGCTGCCAACCATAACTTTCTCCACAGACATTTTTATGTGGTGAGATCAGAGTGTAGAGAGGAGGTCCATGAGGTAACAAGCAGCGATAGCTCGAAGCAGAACCAGGGGAACTCTGGATCAGAACTTGTTTCACTGCTGACGCCTCTGCATGTTTATAAGCTTACATTCATCTGTGAATTCCTGACTTTGAAATCTGAAGAAGTAAGAAATGATAAAGGTTTCAGGCATCATGTCTGGCAGCCCAATCAATGTAACTGACATGGGCAGGCTTTGTTTGTCTGAGAGGAGCGAGGCTGCTCCTCCTGCTGAGCTGCAGGGCAGTATTACGACCCTCCTCTAATTACGGGGTAATCTTTGTCAGTCACTGTCAAAGCACACACACACAAACACGCGCACGCACGCACACACACACACACACACACACCACCACGAGGCACCTGGCTTCATCCCCTTTCTGCAGACAGCATTGCCCATCACATATCCAGCATGACGGGCTGTCAGTAAAGAGCATACAAATGACTTTTAAGGTGCTTTGAGTGATTAGCGCTTCAGAAGATGATGGCTTAATGGTTTCATTTATTAGGCCTGTGTGAAATAGCCTTTTCACAGACATAAAAGCTTCATTATGACGACTACAGCCTATTTTCTATTAACAACCCATGCATTTGCTGTTCCGTTGCATTATCCTAATGCATGGAGGAAATATAATTGCTGTTATGAAATGGTGCAAAATATGTTAATGTGTCATTCAAACCTATCAATTAAAAACCATTACAAGGAAAATTACAGAGAATGCCTTCACATCTTTAAAGAAAGGCCTGTGTTGTTAAACATGCATTTACTTTAACTAGCAACAGTGGTTATTTACAATAATTACAAGTCATAGCTAAAGCATTAAGTAAAAACAAAATAACATATCTCAATTATATGTCCTTGCAAAAAAAGCTTGCCATGAGAATATCTCTGTATGATATGCAAATCTCCATGTAAGCGACCACAGAGGTGGTCCATTATTTTTCCTGCCACTTACAGAGTGGCAGCAGGTGGGATCTGAGGACAGCTGGAGAGGTGATCGGCCAGCCATCGGGACTGATGGACGAACAAGTGTTTTAAGAGCAGACAAGTGGCTGAGCCTTTTACGACATCCAGGATGACGGAACAGGGCAAAGGAGAGAGGCCAAGAAACAGAGAGAGCTCTGCAGGGAGCTGCCTGGGAGTAAAATGTGTGCCCGTTTAATGTGTTACGCAGAAAGTGTTATAACTTTTTGTTGAAGGGTGGAAATGGAGGTCAAGGGTGTACTGTGGGGTCAGGAAGATAACAGAGTTGATGGGAAGCTTCAGTTTGCAACGTCATTTAAAATAAAGAGTTGCACAAAAAGGAAACTAAATTACAGTATCAAGATCAAGTGGAACATGTTCTGCTGTTCTAATGTGAACAATGTGTAAAGTCACAGTTTGTACCACCATCGACTCTGTGCTCCAGAAAAGATCACAGAGAAAGTCTGTTTAAAAACTTTATCACATCCCAACAGCTGCTCACTCAGTGAAGTATTAATTGACAAACATTACACAGAAGCACAAATAATGCCTCTTATTCTATTCCAGTGTATTGTGTACATAGTGGTTATTGACAGACCTTCTATATGGAGAAACTGAATTTGGCGTTGTGAAACCTTCCTGTGGGCAGGGTTTCTATTTATCTAGAAAGAGGAAGTAATTCATAAAGGTATTATGTAAGCCAAATCTTTTGCCACGGTGCTGTTTTCCCCTGTGGCCTCTGATGTTTTAGCGTGCAGCACAGGACTCATATGTAAATGAAAAGAATTTGAGACAAAGGTTGGTCAGGGCTGCAGGGGTCAGGGGTGGAGCTGCAGTATTTGATGTTCACTGGCATTAAAGAAACTGGGATGTCCTGCTTTTACAGTAAGAACCTGTTGCCCTCTCCTCGGGGAAAAGAAACTGAGACAAGAGACTGGACTGAACAGCTGGCCCCAAAGTGAGCGGTGCAACTAATAATCTGTCCTTCTGACAGATGGGGTTAGATGGCTGTCATTTGAGCCCTGCTGATCATGCAGGCAGGGATATCTGCAGCCCCGCAGAGATGCGCTCACTGGTGGCATTTCGTAGGCCTGCGGTCACTGTCACACACGTTGCTTTGGACCTCTCCATTTTCACACACCTCTCCAATGCCCCTGACTGAGCATGAACACAGCACACACTCCTCTCTGGACCTTTCAGGACACTATACAAACCAATGCTTTCAGTACTATTACTATAGTGTTACCACTGTAGCTCAACAATAACAATAAAATGTACAAAACCACACATATTCAGCTGTATAATTCAACAATACAAACAGCGACGTGAGCCCTGAAAAGTAATGAAATAGTCTAATAAACTTTTACACACACAAGAAGCTGGAAAATCAAAGTGTGCTTGGTTTCAATGTAATAATCACCTTCTAATTAACACTTTCGATTGATGGTTGATACTGCAGGAGTAAAGTAGTTCAGGACCTGCTGATTTGCATGTTGTCTTCAAACATGTCAGAGGTATTAAGGAATGTGCCCTGGGCTGAACACTCCTGTGCTCACATTTTCATTCCAGTCAGCCAGGGTTAAGTCAGGTTAAGAAATAGTCCACTGACTTTTTTTCTTCTTTTTTGTTTTAACAAGTGTTTAATGAACAAGATGGTGTAGGCTTATGTTCTTGTGTGCAAACCTGCTTATGTTATCCCATGAAGACAGATGGCTTGCCTATAGGTCAAATGCAAGTAAAGAAAATAGGGAGAGTTAAAAAAAAAAAAAGAATGGACAAAATCTTTTAAAATAAATGAATAATAATTTAAACATTTCTTCTTTTTTTAATCCCTCCCACCTTCAGTTTGTCAGAGATATGCTGTCACATTAAATATCTGTGAATATGTCAGTGTTTTCATGGTTTACAACTTGTGAAATTTCAAAAGAAAACAAAACTTATGCAGGAGAGGAGGAGAAAGAGCAGAGCATGCCATTCGGACAATAACATGCGCGGGAAAAGGAGGGCGGGGAGAGGAGGAGCACAGACAGAGAGAGAGAGAGAGAGAGAGAGAGAGAAGAGAGGTGGGGGTGTGGGGGTAAATAGAAGTCTTTTTATCTCTAGTTTCCCACATCCTGTGAACGGCTGCAAACGCGGCCACCCAATTTGAAAGAATGAGAGGAATGTGCCCATTCTATCCCAGCGCGCTTTGATGCGCAGCGAGTTGAGAGGCATTGTCAGGCAACTCAAATAAAGAGCATAGTCCTGGACTTCACTTCAGCCAGTAAAACCTCTGTGTTTAATGTGAAAATAATTAGGTAAATGGCAGGGGGTTAGAATAGCTGGGATGCGACTGATGAACTGCTCTCAGGTTGTATGGGCGCTGTATGCGTCTCTTAGTGCAAAATGTCTTTATTAGTGTGTAAATGCTTCAGTGCAACCAACAGCAACAGTCTGTTTCTATTGTCAGAGGCAGACACAACATGCGGAGAAGAGTGAACAATTATGAGGCACTGCAACGGAGCAGAAACTTCAATATCAAGCATGAATAGCATATAAATAATGAATAGAACAGAACGGACTATAACATCCAGTTTCAGTAACTTGATGCGTTCCTCATGTTTGCTGAAGCCTATTAATAATGGTCTATACATATCTTCTATTCCCTTAGTCAGTTTCCCGCGAAGGGAGGAGGCAGGGGGGTGAGCACTTGGCTTTGAATTTGCATTTCCCTCCAACATGAATTCATAATTATTACTTTAGTCTCCCCCCTTTTTGGCGCGTTTTGATTCCCGCCACGTCTGTGTCTGGCCCGGGCGGTTATGAGGTTGGCCTTATTTTCATAAGCGTTTGGAAGGCCTATCTGCGTTTCTATTGGCTCGGCGAGAGGAAAGGGGGCGGCGCCATGGCTGACGTTGGCGCTTAGTCAACGCCCTCTTACTACCGCCTTATAAGCTTCCTCCCCCCCGCTCAGCATTTCCATGAGCCGGTGTCTGACGGAGGCATTGATCCGTACTCCGCTTTATCTGTTTATGTCGCGAATTTTACTCAACTGTTTACAAAACATTGCGTGGAACAGCCGTGGTTTCACGTTAGTTTTTGAAGCAAACTCAGTTATACCGATAGCCGGGACCCGTTTTTGTCTACATTACCCTGGATCACAAGCGGGTTTTCTCCTATGCGGATGAGAGGATCCCCTACCGCATTTTTGTGCCTGCAACGTGGACTATAAGCTCTACTACAGGAGACGGGAGAGTCGCGCTGTCGGAATAAAATTACTCTTATAAACCACTTCTTTTTTTTTTTTTGAAAACGAAGAAGACGGACGTCGTTGTCCTGTGGTGGATATCCTTTAAGGAATGCTGCTGTCCAAGCTCAATTCTCTGGCCCACATCTCCACCGTAGATATGCCGGCGAAAATCCAGCTCCAAGTTCATCAAGGTTAGACGCCCTTTTTCCACTGTGTTGTCATGGAGGACGGGGCTGCAGCAGCAATGGCTGGCAGCCCGCCTATCATGGCTCAGTCCACACACGCTACTACTTGCTCATTTTCAAGGACGGCAGTTCATTTACTCGCAATAATATTAACAGTATTATTATGTTTTGACGTCTTTATCCTGCAGTTACTTTGCTGTATGTGTGTTTTGTTTTTGTCCTCTGGTATTTACCGGCTGTGTTTATATTTGTTTTGCAGTAAAGGAGAGGGAGCCTTTCGAGAAGCTTTATCAGGTCGGCGCAGTGCTGGGCAGCGGTGGGTTCGGCACCGTTTACTCCGGTACGAGGATAGCCGACGGAGCTCCGGTTAGTATGCCTTATATATGTTTGTTTTATTTTGGTAATGAGACGTAATGCATTTTATTGCAACTGCTTCACATGTTTGGTTGTTGAACAAGTCGTCTGACGCGGTGTCTCTGTTTTGCTTTGCTAGGTTGCTGTCAAACATGTAGCCAAGGACAGAGTCTCCGAGTGGGGAGAGCTGGTAAGAAACTGTTTATAATCCTAATTAATGTACTTATTTAATATATTATATAACCAGAAAACTGTATTGATATCATAAAGGGAGCTAAAGTGTATTATTGGAGGTATTTTATTTCAATTCAGCATGTTATGTATGAAATACTAATATTTATATCTGATCTCTTCAGCCTAACGGCTCCCGGGTTCCCATGGAGATTGTGCTGCTAAAGAAAGTCGGGACGGGCTTCCGCGGCGTCATCAAAATGTTGGACTGGTTCGAGCGACCGGACAGCTTCATCATCGTGATGGAGAGGCCCGAAAACGTCAAGGACCTGTTTGACTTCATCACGGAGAAAGGTGCCTTACCGGAGGAGCTGGCGCGGAGCTTTTTCCGCCAGGTGCTGGAGGCCGTGCGGCACTGCCACAACTGCGGCGTGGTGCACCGGGACATCAAGGACGAGAACATCCTCATCGACCTCCGCACCGGGGAGATGAAGCTCATCGACTTCGGATCCGGAGCCCTACTCAAGGACACCATTTACACAGACTTTGATGGTGAGTCATCATTGCTAAAAACGTGTTGCAATATAGAAATTGTTTTATTGTTATTTGTTAAATACAGTAATGTGTTTCTATGGATTTCAACATCAGAACCTCTTTAGTCTTATGATGTGTCCCATACCCGAGCGGACATTCCTATCTTGTGCCATCTCTGACACCCCCCGCGTGCACGCGCGCACACACACACACACACACACACACACACACACACACACACACACACACACACACAGAGCAGCCTGAGCAGTAGTGCCTTCGCTTTGGCGCCCCCCATTGGAGGAGAGATGTATTTTTACAACTCAAAGTTTGTAAACAAAGTCACATGTCCACTCCCCCTCCCACACACACTTCCCTCCCTCTTCCTCTCACACGCACACGCCCTGCCTGTCACGCTCCCTGGCACCTGAGCCCGGATAATAACCTCAGAAAAAGGCTCAGCTCATAAATCTGCATTCTTTGTTAATCATTTAACCCTCTCTGCAATGCTTTCATTGTCAATTTTACTACAATAATAATAATGATATTATAAATTACTGTCACTCAGAATCAGCTTAGGTGTCCCTGTTATTAGTGTTTATTTGTGCAAAGTTATTAAACAAGGTTACAGTTTTTAAAGATGTCTTTCTCTTTTCATTTCCTCCTGTGTGACAGGCACCAGAGTTTACAGCCCGCCTGAGTGGATCAAGTACCACCGCTATCATGGGCGCTCTGCCACAGTTTGGTCCCTGGGGGTCTTGCTGTATGATATGGTGTGTGGGGACATCCCATTTGAACACGATGAGGAGATTATAAGAGGACAGGTCCTTTTCCGGAGAAGAATCTCCACAGGTAAATTGACATTGCAATACCTGTTCTAGCTTTTAATCACAGGTGTGTAATATTTGCATACTCAGTCTATTGCTCTGGACTTATTGGCTGTCCTCCTTCCTCCAGAATGCCAACAGCTGATCAAGTGGTGTCTGTCCCTGCGGCCGGCAGACCGTCCATCCTTTGAGGACATCATCAACCATTCGTGGATGCAGAGCACATCCTCCTCTGTAGTTCCCCCCACAGTGCAGACAGAGAAGACCACCACAGAGATTAGGCTGCACAGCATCAGCCACGAGCCCACAGCCTTCACACCCACCCCTGTGGCCGTGGCTCGGTGATGGAGGCAAAAACTCTGGTCCGAACTGGACTGCACTGACACAAGAGACTATTACAAAAGACTTATGTAACAGACTTGAAGCAGAGAGGAGGGGGAGCAGGGCGGCTCACAGGCCGACTGTCCCAGCACAGACGAGAACAAGGTGTAAAGGACTACACACAGAGGAGGCCGAGGTTATGACAAAACCATCAACCCTTGGTTTGAACCTGGCAGGCCGCACCCTCTCCATTCTCACCACCCAACTACTTGATTTTCCCAGTCGTTGACCAGCATCAGTGTCAGAGCATCATCTTCTCACGACTCTGATCTGGGCACCGGGTGTTTATCAGTCTGTAGGAGGGCATGCTCTGTATGCACAGACACCTGCACTGAGCAAATACAGTACATTGGTTCACTGTTCTGCTGAATGGCGAGTGGACAGTCTGAGTTACGTAACTTCTTGTCATACTGTACTCTGCTCTCTCCCTCTATTTCTTGCTGTCACAGCAGAGTGGGAAGAGCAGAAGTGTTGGCGAAGGGAAGCATGATTTTTTTTTTTTTTTAAGTGCCTTCTGTGAGATTGTTGGGGGATCCTGAAAATACTTGAATTTGTGAAAGCAAAAAGGCTCTTCTCAACAACCTTTTTGCTCCTTACTCTGTACAAGGCTTTATATCGTTTAATGCTGTTTTTTTTTTTTCCTCTCATGGGCCTAGATCAGTAAAGCCTATGCCATTTACAACCACTACTATCACTACTTCTAACTACTCCAATGTCATTAGCAACCAGACAACCTCATAGCTACGGCAGCAACCTGTGCAAACAAGTCATAAAAAAAGAAACACTGGACTTACCTCACTCTCTTTACTACAGCACCCACCTCTACTCTACAACCTCCGCTTCCTCCTCTTCTCGTGTTGTACTGTATACAAACACAAGGCTTAGGCAACCACTCATTCACATCCACCTGAATGCACACCACAATGCAAACTTAAAACCATACCGAAATACAACATCCTCTGCTCTTCAATTCAATTTTTTTTTTGAATTTTTACACAGTGCCTCACACAGGTCTTAAAATTCGGTGGGGACAAGAATTGTAAATAATAACAATATTTATTATTGCTGTGACTTCTTTCTCTCACATTCGATGAGTGTTTTTGTCACAGACTTTATTTATTTATTTATGAGAGAATTTCGGCTGTACGTATATATTTCATTCCACAGTCACTGAAGGGCCCACAGATTATTTAAAAGACAAACAAAGATGAGATCTTTTTTTGACCATATTTATGGCTTGAAATTTTAAAAGAGCAGATGTTTGTGTGTATGTTTGTGTATGTATTGTAAATAATGTGTAATTAGTCCCGAAAGCACTTCCATCTTAATGTATGTAAACAATGAACGTCTACTGATGGTAACTGGTTTTGTTGCGCTGTTGTCTGCTGTGAGGGGGCGAGTGAAATCTGAATGTTGGGGGTGTGTGTGTGTGTGTGTGTGTGTGTGTGTGTGTGTGTGTGTGAGTGTGTGTGTATGTGTGAGTGTGAGAGATGTGAGAATGATAAATCTCTATCGGTTGCATGATTGCAGCTTGGATTGTTGTGGTTTTTTTTTTCATCCATTCAAATTAGAATTGTAAATTATGTTAGAAACTATTTTTATACTATTTCAATAAATATTTTTTTAACTATGATATTTGATTCCTTTGTATTTCTTCAAGTAACACAGTTGGCTGTAAAATATACTGTTGGTACTGCAAATCTTAAGATCAAGGTGAAACCATAGATTTGCAAGGGTAGATATGATTGATCTAAAAAAGGTTGAAACAAAAGTGACATACGTAGTATTCTGACACAAACAGAATTTACTAGGTCAAATGGTTATAAGTTCTCAGCAGGTTTCCTGTTCGACACTTAAGTAGAAAAGCGGCGGATACGGAAAACAGATGAAGCGATAAAGGCAGACAGGCTGGTAGAGGCAGGTGGCAAACAAAAGGGGAGGGGTGCTTATATGTTGTTATAAGGGAGAAAAGCTCAAAACAGAAGAACTGGCTTTTTTTTTTACTACAAACTGAGATATTACAGCTTGGCAAAGACAGCACTACAACACATTATTAATAGCTATTTGTTCATTCTTATACAACAGTTATTTCAGACCAAGTAATTTGATTGGGCGAGAGTCATTCCATGAGTGCTGATATAGAGTATAACAGCACTACAGCAGGTACTACAGGTGTTCTATTAACCATTAATCAGTGTGACATTAACAGCCGTTATCCATCTAGATTGTAACAAACTTTGCAAAGATAAATATATTCTAGAAATTAAGAGTTGACATTAGCACACACCTGAGGTAACGTGTAGACAAAGTAGCAAGCTAGTGTGCACTATGCAGGCCAGGAAAATGTATGTGTTGCTTAGCAACAGTCCCCTACCATTCCATTTGCAGAACTATTTGTGTTGCCACTGCAACATAAATGATGAAATAAACAAACAAATCATAATCTGTTGTTGCTTATTCAACTAATACAGCGCTCGTAGAACTGTTGTATAAAAGCAATATCACTATTTTACATTGCTTGAATAACTTAAATATCTATCACATTTACCTGGCAGCTGTATTGCAGATAAAGATTATCTAAATTTTGGTCCCCTGTTACCCCCCTCCGAAATTATGAAACCAACCAGTGCTCCTATTCTGCTCCTATATTGACACAGGGCTACAAAGATTAGGTAATTATGCAGGACCCCACCATTAGTTTGATATTCTTAAATGGTGGCAAATTCCTTTAAAAAATGTTATTAATCAACTTACAACCAGTTGAGAAACAGTGAACCTGGGGCTGCTGCAGGTCTTAGGTTCTTGGCTAGAGTTTAGAATTAGCTCTACCTTGACCAGCTACAACATTAAAATCCTGCTGTGTATTTTTACAACTGGTGGAATCTGAGTACTTACACCACTGCTCCTCAAAGCATCTGTCATTGTACAAAGTAATCACCTTCTGCCAGTTCACAGCTGTGTTGTCAGCCACCGCTTGTTCCATCCCTCTAATAAGATGCAGATGCTCTTCTGAGTTAATCTAGACCCTTGAGCAGTGATAGTGAGCCACAGGCAGCAGCCTATCATGGACCTGCTCTCCTGGATAGATAAGAGTTGTAGGTTTAATCAGTTGTAATGCTCCTGAGGGACTCCTGGCCTCACTGCTAATCTTCCTCAAGACAGCACTGCTGAGACCCACGTACAGCAAAACGAAGATTTACACAACAGCAAAATACATGGAGGTTGGAAACGCTGCTGCAGCCCATCAGCCCCAGTTAGTGCCTGTCTGGTGAATACAGTGTGTATTTACCAGCTATAATTTGAAACGATAGATCGGAGGATGCTGATGTAAGCCAAAATGCTTCCATCATACCATCTCTTTGAAGCATCTGCCATTTCCCCCAACATTATGGAGCTTTGGAGCATCTTTCAGCTCATTTTTTTGGATTTCCAGCCACAATGCTACTGTTTTAGTTTGCTCTTTTCCACTAACTTAATGCTACCAGGGACTACTGGTGAACATGGTGCAGCATTTAGCAGCTAGAGACAGATGTTTTCCCAGAGATTAGTACAAACAGAGCTAAAAGGAGATGAGTAATTGGACTTATATCCCCAGGTTGTTAGAAAAAATGACTCCAAATGAAAGCTAATGTTGCCCTGTATCTGCTGAATGTACAAATAGGCAACTGTATGATAGAAAGAATGCCATATCACATTAAAAAGTAGTAGTATTTCAATGTTATGTTCACAGCTTGTTTCAGCTTAACCTCTCATGTAGCACCACCATCAGGTCAAAATTTTAAACTTGACCAGTATTTTGATGAATGGCCAAATAACTACTTCTTGTGTCTTCTGCTAATTATGAAATATAGTAATAATAGTTTAAAATAATGTTTATTTATATAGCACTTGTCAAACAGAAATTATAAAGTGCTTCAACAAATAAGAAACACATGCAAAAATTACAACACAAGTAAGCAATGTAAAAATATGTAACATTTAAAAGAGATTATTCAAAAGCTTTGCACATGATAGCATGCTAACTCTACTACTCTACTGATAGTTATAGTATATAGCATTTCCTGCAAAACTTCAGCATGTTAGCATTTAGATTCTGAGTATTAGCAAGCTGATGTTAGCATTTAGCTCAAAGCACTTCAGCCTCACAAGAGCTGTTAGCATGGCTGTAGACTTGATATGATAGACAACCAAAAACATTCAAGCAAATGTTTTTAATGACGTCTTGTTACGTTGCACAATAAGAAGCCAGGTTAACTGTTATTTCTAACTTATGTTTCAGTTGAGGCAGAGCTGCATAAGTGACACATGGGTAATTACTGCTTACACAACAACATCACTCATTTGTGATAAAGCGTTTAACTCAAGATCATCCCAAAGGTTTTCCTAATGCCTTTCCCCGGGTGCACACACCACTCACAGACTTGACCTCCAGGGTCACACTCCTTAAGCACATCTAATACATGGCCTATCCCTGATATATGTTCCTCAATCAGCTTGTGCAAGCCTTCAACCACCGTTCAACAGAATTTTTTATCATTCAAAAGCTATACAACATCTCCTAGTCTGAATGTACAAAGTTTGTGTAGTGGTCACTGTATATATCTTTGTATCAAATAAAGAAGTTATCAAAGGAAACCAATCCTAAAAATAAGATGTCATCTCTGGCATGAATTCAAAATGTAAGTCAGTCTTCAGTAATCCTTTGATCTGTTACTGGCTTTCTGCTGCAGGTTTCAGACAACATGTGATTTCCCTGTATTGGGACCACAGGTAGTTTTCTGCGATGACACCGCCGTTCATTTCCCCCTTTCGTTCCGAGAACCACACGCCACATCTAACTGCATGTTGGCTTGTGTTGTTATACACGTCCGAGGGTGCATCCAAGAAGTTCTGCTGTTCTAAATGTCCCATGTGTTTTAAAGTGGAAAGCAGGTGAGATGGAGCTTTTTATTTTTTTTTTATTTTTATTTTTATATTTCTTTTGTATTTT